GATGACTGAAATTCAGTCTCAAATCATATCATATCTTGTTGGATCAAAGATCAAGATTACCTAACTGCTCTCTAACTGCCTGAAAGAAATTCTTCAAAAATTTCATCAGTTTTTGAGAAAGATAGCATCATCCTGAATCTATGCAATTTTTCAAAAGCACTGTATAGAATTTAGTCAAAACTGGTAAGCAAAAGAAAAACAAAAACAAAAAAGAAGCAAACAAGAAAGATAGGAATAAATGGTTAAATCTGAGAGAAAAAAACAGATACTGGAAATAGGTACCTAGTGATGTCAATATTAGACTGATCCTACACAGAACAAGGCACTCTTGTTTCTAATATGAGCTGATTCCCACTACCCGCCATTGCCTGTCTCAGACCTTAAAATTTCTGTGATTAATATGTTAAATAAAATGGATGAGAAGATGGAAAATTTCACTATAAAATGAAATCTGTTCTAAAATACAAAATGCATACTATGGAACTAAAAATTATAATACTTACAATAAATAACCTAAAAGATAGATTTAACCATATAGTTGACATAGTAGAAAATTAGTAAACTGGACTTTAGGTGACTAGAAATGTCCAGTGTAAAACAGGCAGAAAACAAGAAGTATGAGAAATACCTAATATATGAAACATAACTGAAAGCTATAACATATGTGTAATTGCAGTCTTTGAGTGAGATGGGTGAGAGAAGAGCAGAAACAATATGAAATAAATAACTGGGAATTTTCACTATTGGCAAAAAAATCAAACTTCAAATTAAGGAAGCTTTTCAAAAGCAAGAAGGAATTATAAAAAAGACCTATGCACCTAATTATGTCATAATAAAACTGCTGAAAACTAACAATAAATCACAATTTATTTTGTCTAAAAGCAGCCAAAGATAAATAAAAGCATAGTAATGTCAAGTAGTGAGAGTAAAACGGAGGGCTAACTCAACTATTCAATAGAAACAACAGAAACCGAAAGAAAATTAAATGAATTCTTTAAATTCCTTTGAAATGTCCTTCTAAAGATGTTTACAGATAAAGAAAATGAAAGACTGCTTTGTCCACAGACTTAAACAAAAGAAGTATTAAAGGTAATTCTTAAGACAAAAGTAAAATTATCCTAGATGTTGATATGGTAATGCAGGAAGACTGCTGGAAAGGAGACAGGCAAATAAGTAGCATTGATTAAACATCTCGAAGTTTTGTGAGGTTTCAAATACATGCAAAATTAAAATACATGCATACAATAAGAGAAGACATGGGAGAGAATATATTAAAGGGTTAAAGAGTATGACTACTGTACTAGTTGGTATTCTAGGTCCTTGTTCTAAGCCTGGGCAGTGGAAAAAGTATTAATTCAGAGTAGACTGTAGTAAGTCAGGAATGCATACTATAATCTCTAGTAAAAACAATACAAATAATAAAAGAAGGTATAAAAACAAGTTAATTAAGGAGTCATATGGAATGATACAGGCAAAACCTTACTAGAATCTAGCTACAACTCATTTCTTTCTCTGCTGCCATCCTGATTCGACCCAACAACAATGTTCACCTGGATTACTGCAATACATTTCTCTAATTGTAAAGGGTTTTATTATTATGTGTAGCATAGGCAAAATTATTTTAAGTCAATACATTTTTTATTTAAGGAATTTCATATGCTGTGATTCCTTCCCCTGCCAATCACCTTAGCTACTCCAACGTTTGAGTCATGATCTTTCAGACAGTTCTTTTAAAACATGTCATTATCAGTCAGTCCAATATTCTTTTAGCTGAGCTTCTTTGATCACCACTTGAATATGGACATACATCAAAAATTCCTCACCCATAGTCTCTGGTATCCAGTTTCTTCAAGCAATTACTTTGGCGTAACATTCAGGGTCAGAGTAGATGGATCCGCCTAGTTCTCAACTGCAGACACCTTATGCTGTCATACCCTAGAAATGATCCGTCAAACCCAGATCGTTAGAATATGTAAATAAGAAGGATTAAAAAAAAGATTTTCTATTAGAGGTCTTCCATATGTGTAGCAGACCTGTCTTGTCGTTCTTCCCCACAGATCTACCACACAGTTCTGTGAGTAAAGGAAACTACAAATATACTCTCTGAAGTGTTTCCAGTGACACAGATCTACAGAAAAAACCCCATCAGGATAAACATCAACTGCAATACATTTTCATACCTCTGTTACCACATTTCCCCACAATTTTTACAATATGACAGCCAATGAGTTCCTTTTAAAATATGTCAGATCATGACATTGCTTTGCTCAAACTTTCCAAGTGCATTGATCACTCACAGAGTAAAGTCCAAAGTCATTACATGATTTTCACTCATGACCTTTAGTGTTCTCACCTACTTTTCTTACTCATTCATTGTTTCACAGGCCTGACTGGACCATTTACACATCAGGCACACTTTAACTGCAGGCACTTTCGACTGGCTTTGCTCTGCTTGGAATGTCCATCCTCTGTCTATGAGAATCACTCAGTTCCGAACTATCTTCAAGTCTTTCTTCAGATGCCCTCTCAGTGAGGCTACCGGGACCATTCTATTTGAAAGTACATACCCTTCCTGCACTTCTGGTCGCCTTTGCCTTGTTCTACCTTTGTTTTGTCTTGTGTAACTATTATTATCTCCCTAAAGCAGAATAAATAACTCTTCCTTCATGGTCCTGAAGGTGGGACAGTAATCCTATTGTATCCTGTTAATCATTTGCCTGTCTCTCCCTACAAGACTGGAGGATCCTTGAAATAGAGTGTCTTTGATATCTGGTGTTGTAGTCAATAAATCACTTCTAAAACGATGGTAAATGCAAAGTAAACAAAGTCATAATCCTGACTTTACTATTCTTAAACAATTTGAACATAACTCGTGCTTTGAAGATATAAGTATTGATAAATAAGAAAAATTATTCTTACAATGAAACCTATATAGCAATGAAAATGAATGAATTTTAGATACCAACAACATAGATGTGTCTTAGAAATAATAAGTAAAAAATTAAGTCATAAATTTTCACATACAGTATTATACTCTTTATAAAACAAAATCACAAATAAAACATCTACACATATAACAAAATTCACAAAAGTGGGTGTCTCCACATTTAAGCAGGATGAATGGAGCACAGTTAGATACAGTATATTGGCAGGATTCTGATTGTCAATCTAGTTGGTGAATTCACAGAAGTTCACTTTACTATTACATTTCATAACTTGCATTATACCTCACTTCTGATATTTAGGGTATAACAAATATACATTCTTACACATGACTTAAAATTTTAAACACTCTAGTGACTCAATCAATATCATATATTAAGTTATACATCTTCGGTCACAATTAGACCTTTGAAATTAATCTTGAGTTGGTATCTCCAAAATATTTTCCCTGGAAGACTTTCATATGTAGGGTGGTAAAAACAAAAAGTGACAAGGCCAAATCATTTTTTGATAAACTGTCCAACATATCTCCTGCTAAAAATTCTCAATATGTACCTGCATAGACCAAGAAAAGCCCTTCAGTAATAATTTTTTTCATTTGTTTAACTAAGTGTTCTCAGACTTATTTGACCAAGCGTCGCATCTTCCATCATCATTGGAAGCATTGTTCAATGTAACATACTTTAGGAAATATTGCTGATAAATTTACCAGGGTTGCTGTAAATCTGTAGTCATCAATGCCACCCGTAGGAAGAAAAAATTATATCTCTGAGAAATTATGTTATGGATAATCTTTCAGAACAATTTTATAGGCTGAACACTGTGTAGGATTGTTGAATCTCTATTCAGTGCCTCTTCAGCATAGTTATATTTTTATGTGATATTACTATTGACCTAATCATACACTGCTATGTAATCGTTCTTACTTTTTTTACCCATGAGTGTACATAATTCATATCAGATTTCTATTAGATGACTGGATCACATATGTCAAGGCCATTTCTATTACATCCCACAAAGAATAAAGCTTTCAAAACACAAGGTACGGTATCTTGAAAAGCTTTAGGTCCATCCTTATGTATATTATAGGCAAAATTTTTATCTAGATGTATTCTCCTCTTTGTCTAAGTCATTTTTTTAATTATATGGTTCTTTTACAATATGGCTACACTAATTACAAAGATTTTTCTTGAAAATCAGATTATGCTATTTTCACACTGCCTTAAATTAATAGTGGTAAAGTAAGGAGATTAAAATTTACTCAGCAAAGTATATTAGCAATTCAGGATATTTCATAAATAGAACATTGCATAATATCTATTATTTTAGTTGCCATGTACTCCAAGAAGAAAAGTGAACATTCTCATTTTTCAGTTAACCTTTGAGAAATTAGTTTGTTTCATTAATCTGCTTAAATGATTTAAGTAATTTATTTAAGTTGGAAAATGTCATAATTCTTACATTTTAAAGGCTATTGGCAATGAAGAATACTTCCTTAAAGAGACTAAAATTACCTACCTAATTAAAAATATTGAAAACATAACACTAAGAAATTAATTATAAGCTCTCCAGCACTTAGTTTTATTCAGTTAAGAATAGCTTTTAATATTACCTTGAAATGTTTTGTTTTGGGTAGATTTAATAAACAATTTGAATCTCTATCCAGAAAGATATATCAATTCAGCAAATCCATTTTTCCTTGAATGGTTCTTTGATTTGTGTTCCCTGAGATACATGGGGAAATGCTCAAAGGTCATTAATACTGTCATCAATATACATTAGTCATTGGAGTAGACCATTTCCCAACTGGGTAACATCACATTTCCAATAGCCCCCCAATTAATGACTGTCTGATTGACTCATCTGCAAATCTTACAAAGCAATATTTTTACTAAGAAAATTGAAACTTCCATTGTTAAAAACTCTGCAGGGCTGAGGACATAATTAACTATACTGAGGCCTACTTGATCTCAGAAGCCTTGGGGATAACCAATAATTAGTTTCATTCTGAAATGGTTTTGTTGCTATAACCATGACTCAGTGTTTCTGAACTACTGAAGTTTTGATGACTGTTGCTTATTTGGATCAGAACAGAAAAGCTATAGCTAACTCAAGGTATATAGAACAATAAATTTTCCAAACTATCTTGAGATTAAGAACAATCAAAGTAAATAAAGCATCAAGTTCTATTTATCTTCCAAATTATTAGTGCTTACAAAAGCAAAGGAGGCTAAAATAATAACCACTCTGTATCCATCACATTCAATGTTATACAGCAGCTGCATTTCATTTCATAAAATGAGAGAAAATTAAGAGATCTGATTGGCTGATAAACAGTCTAACTATGGATTCCTGGACAATTCAATCTGAAATTTATGAGCATCACCACTTAATTAAGAGTAAGAATTCTGAGCACAGAGTCTATAATCAGTACAGTTCAGGAAGCTCAATATTTGTAAGACCCATCAGTTAGTAAAGTGGGCAGAAGGAATTGAACACTGATAGTCTAGTAAGAATTCCCAAACCAGGAACTCTAAATAAAGTAAATTCAGAAAACTCAAAATATATTCTTAAGATATGCTATGCAAAAGGGCTTTTAAATACAATTTTCTGGCACCATGACCCTATTTTACTTTAAAATCAGAAAAAAAAAGTTAAATTATTGAAGTTATCTCTCTGTTTCAGTATGAGATGACATTAAAGCAGTTTTATCTTTCTACTCCCCGCTTGTGAGTGTGTTTTGCCCTTTGAGCATTAGGTGAAATTGACCACTCTTCCAGGGATATATTAAGGTACTATCTTGGATTTAAGTAGATGTAATAATACAAAAAAAAAGTGCACACATCATTATATTAGTCATGATCAGTGCTCCTTAAGTCATGATCACAGACAACCTGATATTAAAAAGAGTAAGTGTACCACATTGAAATTTCACCAACATATACTAATACCGGTCAGACCTAAAAAAATCAGGTCTAAATGATATTAGTGCCAAAGCTGTCAAGTTGTGCAGCATATCAGTTTTTTACTGAGTTGAACAAATGGATAATTTATAGTACTATAGTATGACTATCAAATAGGATATTTAAACAAATATGGAGTATAGACCTTTCTGTGTCTAAGAGAACAAATGTGTAACTTGAGGACAAAACTGTATCATTATAGTCAGAGAACTTTTCTCATGAATGAATTGAAGAATTGAATTTTGCAGTAGTGGAGCCCCTAGCTGACATGCTCCTGCATTAACCTGACTTGTCCATCTGGATGCTTATATTCATATGGACACAAAATAACCCAGTCTGACTTGGGTTTGTTGACATGCTTGTCTCTTTGCAAACTTAGGAATAATTCAAGAGAATCAGAGAGATGTTCTCATACAAAACTAGAGTTTAGACTTTTTTCTCAATCAATGCATGTAGACATGAACACCCTGAACAATTTGTGTGAGAAAATGATCTCAGAAGGTGTATGAAAGAAAAGAAAGAATCGGATATGAAATATATAAGGAGTCATTTATTATCACTCTTAAGGATCATGTCCCTGCAGTCAGACTTCATGGGTTTATAATACAAACTCCACTATTTACCTGTTGCACAACCTTGAACAATTTTAATGAACCTCTCTATGGTCTCAGTTTTCCCATTTGTAAAATAGGGGCTAAGATTAGTAGTTACTAATATGATTATTATGAGGGTTTCATAGGAAATTCATGTAAATGTATGAAACAAAAATGGCAATTACTATTCTAATTGTTTGTAAAGATGGTCATATTGTTTATAAATTAAATGCTAATAATAAGTTAATAAATCATATTTACGAAGTACTTACTAGGTTCTAAAAGCCTTGCATATATTAAGTCATTTAATTTTTACATTTTTCTATGGGATATTATTTTACAGATAAGAAAGGGGAAATACAGAGAAATACTTAGCCAAGGTCACATAGCTCACACTTCTGGGATGAAGGGGATTAGGCTCGAATCTCATATGATTAAGAAGTACAATTTGGCAGCATAGAAAACCAGAATGGCTGATTTTCTTGAAAACTAAACTTGTCAACCTACAGAGGCTGGAGGAAGCAGCTATTGCTTGGGTAATGAAAATAATGCAGTTTCCTGGAAAATAATACTTTATAACTAGAAGAAAGCATCACTACTATATTGCCATATCTAGAAATATTTTTGACATCTTAAACAACAACATTTTTGCATGCACTCTTA